CTTTTTCCTGAAATATTTTGTTGCAGTCAGTGCATAGAGGGCTGCTCTCTGTGTTACAAAGCTATTATTGTCACTCCCAAAAAACATACCTTCCCTGAACCTGCTTTTGGAAAATTGCCTTGGTATCATAATCAGATTTATGCACATGACTTTACTTACTCCCAATTTTAATACCTAGCTATAGATAGCACTGTCAACCTGTCTGTTATCATGCAATCTTAAACTGCGAAATGTATTTATCACAAGAGCCTTCACAGGGGTATTGTGCAGACAAGTTAACTTTTCACTCTCCCTTTCCTATATGTGTATTTGATGGTGGTGGGCTTGAATTTCTATTCCATTATCTCAGAGTCGAAGTAGAGTGTCATGGTCACTTGGTGTTGCATAGGTGCTGGTATGCAGAGTTTTTCCTGTATTTTGTTCTAGAGATTATGAGACACTACAAAATAGATAAGAGAGCTCATCTTGTCCAGTTCTGATGGAAAAAAGAGTATGCAAATCTTTAAGCTGCAGAAAATACTTCCTTTGGGGAAAAGAATGATTTAAGTTGTCTTAAAGCTGGAATTCTCATTATAGCATGTTTATTTAAAAAAATAAAATAAAAGGCACATTATGTTTAGTGGGCCTTACAAGCTAGTGTGTTTAGGACTGCAGCCTATGTTAACGAGCAGTGAAAATACTTTTGTCAATTTAGAAAATGTATATATATATAAAGCAAGCTTTATTCTCTGAGTTTGCCACATTGCACTTCCAAATTTAGCTATTAAGTTACATTCCTTCACATTGGCTCATCTCTGCTTCCGGGTGAGTGCTTTCAGGAACCATATAGACTGAGTGCCCCAGGCCTTGGTGTAGCCTTAGTAATATGCTTGCTTATATCAACAGTCCAACAGGAATTCTTTTCAGGCATGGTTCAGTGATCCTCTGTAAAATAAAATCTGGGGGATGGCTAGCCAAAGAGTATGACTAATTCGGGCAGAGGGCAGACAGAGACAAAGGATCCCTTGCACACTTGAATATATTAGGTGTCAGCATACACATTCTGGTGATGTTTCTCATAAGAACTGAAAAGATGGGAAGATTCTTGAGTAGAAGCAGGAACTCATCCTGTTTGAGAGGTTGCTCTACGTCAGCAACCATATGAGCCCCCCATGTGCAGTTTTGTGATTAGTAATTGGCAAATCTCTTTCCGTTTCTTATTTTTCCAGTCTTTCAGTTCTCCACATTTCCTCATCAGTTTATGAATTTTTAAAAAATTCATCTCTCCTAATATACACATTTGTGTGCAATTTTGCCTTATATACATGTTTGCAACACAATTTCCCCCTAATATAATGCATATTTGTATGTTATTTTCACCAATATATGCATTTTTATGCACACTTCACCTGAGTGTAAGTATTTTTGTTCACTGGAGAACCACATTGCAAAATTCAGAATGGTTTGTATTTTGAAGGATGGCAATGTTTCAATTTGCATATTGTTTCTGTTTGTTTGTTTGTTTGTTTGTTTGTTTGCATTTGACCATTCAAGCTGTAATACCATTTTACTTCACAGTGCCATTTTGGTAGCATTAGACAACTTTATTCTGAACCCAGAATAGGACTAGTTGTTTTTGCTAATTTCCCTTAGTAACTGAAATGTAGTGCCTCTTATCCATAGCGTGCTCTGACTCTGGGCAAATTTGTTTAAAGTATTATTGCTTTCCCAGAGCTTTGAGGTGTATTGTTTTTAAATAAGTTACTTCTAAACTTAGAGTTCCCTCCCAGTTTTGAAGGAGTTCTTCCTACTGTGCCTCGAATAGTGGGCTTGATCAGCAGCAATTAGCATGTGATCTTGCCTCTGCCTTGAAAAGCTTCACCCACTGATTTCTGTAGCAGGACGATTGCTATTTATCTGGAGTGGACGGCTGAGCAGTGAAGTGGTTGGGTTTGCAAATTAGAGCAAATTATTCAGAAAAGGGAAAACTGAAGCACACTGTAAAGAGCTCCAAAAGGATCTGTCAGAACAAGTGAATGGGCAACAAAATGGCAAATGAGTGTAAAGTGAAGTGATGCATATTTATTTTAAAAATTCTGCTTTGTATATATGTTGGGGTAATGTGTGTTGAGTGTCTAAAGTGCATAACAGCAGACATGTACTGCACAAAGGAGTCTGCAACACGTTTACTAGGAAATGTACACAATCCTGTTGAGATTTGCATATTCTTTAAGGCATGTTGGAACATATGTATATTGACTAAGAAATGTACACAATTTCTTGTTCATGGACAGACCCTATGCACAGTCTCCATGAAGTATGATGAATGTACAGTGGTGCCCCGCAAGACGAATGCCTCGCAAGACGGAAAACCCGCTAGACGAAAGGGTTTTCCGTTTTTGAGTTGCTTCGCAGGACGAATTTCCCTATGGGCTTGCTTCGCAAGACGAAAATGTCTTGCAAGTCTTGAGATTTTTTTTCCGCTTTTCGCCCCCTTTATCTAATCTGCTAAGCCTTTAATAGCCTTTAATAGCCTTTTAGCAGCTAATCCGCTAAGCCTTTAAGCCTTTAATAGCCGCTAAACCGCTAATAGTGCTAATCCGTTAAGCCGCTAATAGGGTTGCTTCGCAAGACGAAAAAACCGCTAGACGAAGACTCTCGCGGAACGGATTAATTTCGTCTTGCGAGGCACCACTGTACAGAGTGGTAGTTTTTTAAAAACACATTAGTTGCTCAATCACATCCCTAACATATACACTGGATCTGAACTCATGACAGCTACCCAAAGTAGCTCAATGAAAATGTCAACCCAATATGTGGCAGCTGTGAAAAATGCAAAGTCCATGCTAGAGATTTTTTTTTTGGGTGGGGATGATGTTTGTATTGTAAAACACTTATATAAATCCATAATCTTGGAATACAGTGTACAGTCCCAGGCATCTCAAAATGAAAATAGAATTAGAAAAGCTATGAAAAGAACAACCACAATGATTGGGGTGTGGAGCACACTCCCTATGAAGAAAGTCTAAAGGTTTTTTGGGATAGGCTATTTAAAAAAATGATTATTAATACTGTATGGTAATGATTGACACTTATGAATGGTGTGGAGAGAGACTTTCCCTCCCTCCCTCCAACTAGAATGTGCATACCACAGTACTAGAACCCAATAAAACTGATCATCAATAGGTTCAGAACAGAAAAAGGGACACATTTTTCATACAATTCATAGTTATTTTAATACTTAGCATTTTTATGATTGTTGAGATCATTTCCCATACATAATCTTTGCAACACTTCTGTAAGGCAAGTCAGTATCACTGTGCTCATATTGCAGATGGGGACTCAGAGGATGTTGTTTGGTTAAGGCCATCTAGTGATTTAAACATCTAGTGACCGGATTATACTAGGTCCATCCTAGTGGGGGACCCAGATTCTTACCCACTGCCCTAGAGCACTATTAATGGTAACACTTTCAATATTCAGGACACACTATACAGCTTTTTGCTATTGTTTCAACTGTTCAGTGCTAAGTAACTGATACAGTCATGCACAGCTTTATTCTGCATGTAAACTTGGACAGCTCTGACATTTCAGATTAGTTTGTAGAGATTGAAGGCTGAATCATCTCTAATTGACTAAAATTAGACTCTAATGAAAGTTAGGATTTGATTTTAGGTATATTACTCAATCATAAGACAACAGCTAACAGATTTCTTAAAAATGTGCTGTATCCACCCTGTTCTATCATTGTTGCCCAGAAGTCCTGTTTATATCAGCTGAGGAAATAACCTTTACAAACTGTCAATAATATTGGAAAAATATCACTTTCTACTTGGATGTAGGAATAACGAAACATGCTAAAAGATTTTAACATAGTTTTTTCCCCCTCCTCTCCCTCTGTTGTCTTCCATATGGTCAAAATCTACGCTGCAAATTTAGCTTCTTGGGGGTAGGAACTTTTTGCATATGGAACTACATAAAGCATTGTGCACACTACTGTAAAAATAATATAGTATGATCTTTAATGTAATGTAGTATAACAATAATAATGTTCATGATAATGTTTGGACAGCTAGCTGGTTTTTCTATCCTTGTTATAAAAATTAATCATGAATTCCTTTTTGAGGGAAAATATTATTTTAACAATTGCTAGAAATTATTTCCAAAAGGAAAATAATATGCAGTATTTAAGTGGCAAACCTATGCACACTTATCTGAGAGTCAGAATTATCTCAATGAGACATACTTCTGGTTAGATATGCATAGGATTATATGAGATTAAGCCCTATTGAACTCAATGGGATTTACTTCTGACTTTGAATAGGCATGTATATAATTACTTCCTTATCTGGTACTTTTAGAATTTCCAATTATTACCATCACTCACTCACTCACTCACTCATACACACACTCATTCACACACTTTTCTTCAGAAGGGCCATTTTTTTAAATTAAAAAGCTATATTTCTTTATTTCAGGAGTCCTTTCCAAAGAAGAGGAGTTATACACTGGAAGCAGTGCCATCTGCTGCTTCTGAGGCATTTCCTGTAGAAAATGAGAATGATCTCTGTGATTTTCTGGATACGACAGTTACAAAGAAACCCTGTTCTTTAGAAATAGCAAGAGGACATTCCTCAAAGACAGGTAAATGCAGCTAGTATTTTCTCTTATAATCAGTGCATTCTACCATTATGTGGTGCACACATTTTGATTAATAATGTGCTATGTACTTCTTTGACGGATGGATAGATACTATGTGCCCACAGTGGGAAGCAAATACAAATTCCCTTCTCTGCGCATGAGGAATCTCAGGGGATGCTGGCTTCACCTGATTGGTGGTTCCCTTTTCTCCCAGGCCAGCATTCCCTATTGAATGCCCAGAGTTAATGGAGTAAGTTTTCCACTGTTCTTGTTTCTTGATTCCGTGATTCACCTGGGATGGCCCACATTATTTGCATGTCAGCTGGAAATAATCTGTAATTTGCTAAGACTACCTGTGTGAATATATGCTCTTCCCCCCACCAGCAATAGCTCAATCTTAGAGCATCTGCTTTGCATGCAGAATGCCCCTGTTCCAATCCCCAGGCAGGCTGGAAAAGACTGACTGCCTGTGAAAACTGCTGCTACTCAGTGTAGAAACTAGATGGACAATTGATCTGACTCTGTATGAGATAGCTTCCTGTATTTTCCCCTCTCTTATCCTAATTAAACCTCTCCTCCTGACAGAGGGGAGGAGTTGTGAGCAGGAGCTGTTTCCCGCATTGGCAGGGGGCGTTCCAGCCCCTGCCCAGCTGGCTTGGCTGTCGTGCCACGCCCCCAAGTAGCCAACCAATCATGTGGAGGCTTGGGGGTGGGGTTTAGCCGCTCAAATGCGGCCGTGGCAGCACTTCCCTTTCATTCCGCTGCTAGTTTATGTCAGATCATACATACTAATTATACTTACTTAAAGCAATCCCTTCCGTTGATTGAAATTCAGTAGTTGGTTAAGTAGTTTCCTAGCCCCAGGCCATGGTCTTCCTTGCTTGCCTTGCCAGTTTGTCCCTGCTCTAGGAGTGTTGGGGTAATGACAGATTGAACTCTAGCTTCCTGCAAGCAAAGCAGGAGCCTGGAAAATATATCCAGCCCCCTTCAGACCACTATAAATACTGCAAGCCTGGCTCTCTTTCTCACCTGGCCGTAGGTAGGCTAAAGGGGAAAGTGATGGTGGCACTACCCAAGAGTAAATAACCAAAGATGCCACGGTGTCTTGGCCGGGGTGGGTGGAGGCAGTGGTATTCTCCTGGTGGTGGTGCTGTGTTTGTGGGATGAGGATGGAATGAGGCAGCAGCAGCAAGTCTGGGACTGCTCTGGGGCAATCCTTCCTCATAGGATCAGTTTGAGTACTGCCTTTTTTGTTACTGAACTTGACATACAGTGGTACCTCGAGTTACAGACACTTCAGGTTACAGACGCTTCAGGTTACAGACTCTGCTAACCCAGAAATAGTACCTCAGGTTAAGAACTTTGCTTCAGGATGAGAACAGAAATTGTGCGGCGGCGGCAGCAGCAGCAGCGGGAGGCCCCATTAGCTAAAGTGGTGCTTCAGGTTAAGAACAGTTTCAGGTTAAGAACGGACCTCCAGAACAAATTAAGTTCTTAACCCGAGGTACCACTGTATTGGTATTTAATGTGGTACTATATTTCAAAATGGTGGCTATCATTGCATTTACTGAGTTTCTTTCCAAGTTACCATGCCCGTTATATTACTGGAATTGCAAAATGTAATCTAGCCACAAATAGATGGAGTGACTGTCTTCTGCTTCATAAGCCTTTTAATGGATTTAGATATGTATTACCTTATCACTGGATGCAGGCTTTCTTTACCTGTGCTTCTGTTACTGGAGGTCTAAACACAAATTCCTCTTATTTCACAGAGATTAGTGTCATGGGGGTTGGGGTGCTTGACTTCCCTTGCATGCGCACGTGTGTTTTGGTCACAATTTAGGTAGAAGGTGGTTGCATAGAGCAGTTACTTAGAAACTGAATTTTTATTTTCACTTTTTTACTGTGTATTGAGGAGGCTTAAAGTAAGCCTTGCTTTTTGAAAAAACAAACAACTCCTATTTTTCAGCAATTTGTCTTCTATCCGACCCTTAAATTAATAATTCAGTTGCCTTTCCTTCATGACAGATGTTGCCCTACTTACATTATTTTCCAGTTCCACAGCAGCACCTGAATAACCTCTTCTAGACACTTCTATTAGGCCTATTAATTTGCATGTTTTCACTTTGTGAGAAATTAATTCTGAGATATATATATATATATATATATATATATATATATATATATATATAACATATTGTATTCTTGATTTGTGAGGTTGAGAAATCAATCATCCTTTGAAAAGTAACAGGATTTAATAAATCTGAGGTACCTTAGACGCAAAGTAATTGTATCACTAAAGTGATAACTATTTGGCAGCTGTAAAGAAGTAAAGCTTTAATCATTTTGGGTGATGATAGGGAATAATTAGCTGGTGGATTTAGTGACTGAAAAGCAACCAAATGTTTTGAAAACATACTTGTATTATTCAGATATGTGTGTGTTTGTTTTTATAAACAAAATACAAGCCATAAAATGTTGCTTGATTTGCAGAAAAATTAGCTTGTGCACTAGTGCACACACACACACACACACACACACATTCCTCGTCTAAGAAAAGCTATTTTCAATTTGTTCACACTTCAGTCTTTATTCCTGCCCACCAAAAGCACATACCTTTATTCTTTATATTACACAGAACAAAAGTTTGTAAAGAAATGACCTCCTCTGCATTGACATTCTTCACTTGCCATGCATTTCTGGATTTTATAAATCCTTGCTGTGGGAAAGGACCAAAGAATTTGGCAGTGACCACTGCAGACAAACTGGATGGCCTTCCATAGAAGTTCACCAAGACATGCAGCAGACACAGCAGTAAACTATACCATGGTCTGGTGCGCTAAGCAGTAAACCCTGCACCAATCCAGAGTGGAGTCCCTAAGACAGTTGGATGGCACCTTGCACGCCTCCTTCCAGCAGCTTCTGCAGCCAAGATGGTGCCAAATGTATTGCTCTACTTTTCTTTGGACCATGTCAATGAGGCCAAGAGAGGGGTATTGTTGTCTGGGCAGCTTGGGACCTCAATGCAGCTTGCGCCCTGGGGAGGTCACTTCAGTGCTGCTAATGCAGCAGTTAGATTTCACCCCCAGAGGCATACTCATTGTCTCTCAAGACAGACAGATGCCAACAGATGAGCCATGTGCTCATGTGCTTCCTTAACACATTATGATTCAATGAGTTGCTTTCGCTTTGGCACAAACACACAAACTGAATTGCAAACCGGCTTCAAACCATGGTTTGCAATCTAGTTAGCTTGTTGTTACTGCTGAATTTGCAAGCTGAGCTTTGAGTCAAAGAGAAAGAATTAATTGAATCAGACTGAAAGAATAAAGGAAGAGCAGAAGGAGCTCATGAGTACAAGTAATTGTACCAATGCTCCAGGAAGGAAAACCTCACTCGGATCTTATGTGTGATCTTTCCTCTAATGCGCAAAGTAGGTCTTGTTTTATGGCTGCAATAATTGAACACACTCTGTAATGGGGCCTACCAGATTGCCTTCTTGTATATTTTAGAAGCCATTAGGGAAGTTCTTTCTTCAGGCATTTTATTCCTTGGGTGCTTTATTAAATGTTTGTATGTGTTCTCTGCTGTTGTTCTTTAACCATATTTTAATATTGACGTTGTAGTGTCTGTTAAACAGACATGTCTCCCCTTGCGTCTCTGAGTATGGTCCTCTCCTTATTTAAGTAGGAAAGTGAGAACCTTACTCTTTTCTGCAAGGCAAGTCCCATCTGCTATGCAGAGTTGTTGATCATACACCCACCGAGACCCACACAACCACTACTACTGTATTTTCCCAAGACAAAGTTTTTTGCTAAAAAATAAAAAGGCAAAAGTTGGGGGTTGTCTTATACATGGATAGTGAATGCAGGGGGGTGGGGTTGGCTATAGCAAGCAGGTGTGCGATTTGAGGTTGGAGTGAGGTTTGCGGGTGATCAGCAGTGGGCGGGTGATTGGTGGTTGCAGTGAGGCGGGTGGGCAGGTGTTTGAGCGATTGGTGGCAGCGACCTCCCCAAAAGCTTCTAAAACTCAGGGCGATCTGCCCCCCCACAATATATGTGTTGATGTTTTCCTGACTCCTACTGCTCCCTGGTATTAGGACAGACCTGTTGCAAGGTTTCCTTACACAGTGCCCTTCCCAAACTCACAGAATACTTCGTTGTGTCAGAAGTGCATCTGCACCTTCCCAAACCCATTGAATGCTACATATATTGTAGTCCTATTATTAATTGTATTTTAATCATTGTTGGGTGGTGTTTAACATCAACCATTCTTGGAGTAGACCTATTGAAAACAATGGTCCATTGGTTTCAGTTGGTCTCTATTCTGAGTATGATTAACAACATCACCCATAGTTTCTAAAGGTATTCTACTTTGTGTTCCAAAGACTGTCTAGAATTTGAAATGAAATAGTGTAGCATTGTTTGGAATGCTCCACTGGGTATTTACAAATTACTCAGGAAATGAATTATTCCCCCTCATTAGTACATAATGAGAATTGTTATTCCAGACAGTTGGCTGACATTACTAAGCAATTCCAGGATCTGTTTTTGCAGGTGAAAGATGAGGGGAAAGATGAGGTTGGTATTCCTCATGCTTATACTTTTTTATATGAGAAGAAAAACAAACTAAGCAGACTCCCTCCTGCCGCTAGAATGCATTTTACTTGTAATTAATTCTAAGCACCACCCCCAAATAACTTGCAGAGACAATATCAGGCTTGTTATAGCTATTCAGTTATGTATTTACATTCCTGTTCAGAACAACAGTAGGGATTCCATTTTGTACAGCACAACAAATAATTCAAAACAATAAATGCAATCTGTTTTCTATTTTCTGTTACCCTTTGGTTCCATCTTTGGATCTTCCATCTGCTCTTTCAGTTCTTTCTAGTAATATTTTTGCTGTCAGATCCAGAAATATCCATGTTTGCTACTCTGAATTGTGGCCATTGTAATTTTCTCCCCTTCAGCATATGAACTATGCAAAATTCTGCTTTACATTAAAGCTGCCAGCTTATTTCCCTTCCTCCCCCCTACTTATTTTATTTTTTTACTTACAGACTAAAGCAGCAACGTAGTAGGAAGGCAGCTCCTTGCTGCAACCTGCCCCCAGCACTTCTAGTCCTTGGCAACAGTCTGCAGTGTACAATTTTAAAATGCACAGTCTATGTGCAAAACACCTTCCACCAACTCATCCTCTCTCTAGTATATAAGCAGCATGTGAAGGGAATCAAACATGTTTACAAAATGAACATAAATTATTTCATAGGGACAGGTTGATCAGGAGAGGAATGGATCTGCTCTTCAATAACAGGAAGATAAACTCTCTGTCTCTGTTTTTCTTTGGGAGAGGGGAGCGAGAGATGTGGTTGGTTCACTAGCCACTTCTGTGAAATGGATGGTGGAGGACCATTTTCACATTGGGGTTGGACTCTCTCAAGTTTCACATTGG